TAGATTAGAATTCTATTAAGGGGGGGGGAGAAGAAAGACGGAAGTAAAAACGAACTAAATTTTGTCTTCGGCAGACGCTTCTTCCATTATTCGTCTGAAATGAATATTCTGCGTTCAGCAGTATAGGCTAAATATCAAATATATTTGTATGTTGCATCTCTATTAATTTTTTTTACAGTGTTGAGCATGATCTTGTATCTATTTCCAGTTTAAAAACTCCTTGAAAAAGTTTTTTTGCGATAACAGGACTCTATTTGCACAAATTCACAAAAGCAGGGCCCTGGTTGAAAGAATGTAAATTAACGTTTATTTTTTATTCACAAATTACGAGTAATTTTTTCACAATTTTACAAAAACAGGACCTTTCACAAAATTTCTGGACAGACCCCTGCTGCTATTTAATTTCTATTGCTTTTACATATTTGCCATATGTATTGCCTATTTTTAAGAAAGACGGCTCCTATTTTCTGAAAGGAATAAAGTGGCGGTTCAAGTGTTTCCATTGTTAGTAGTTTAGTCTATCATACAATGTTAATTGTATAAATATGTATATTTTTGGTTCTGTAGCAACCTTTTAGTGTTCGCTTTTTTTTTTTTTTTAATAAAAACTAAAGTGGTTTGGAAAGAGAAGTATAAGCCACTTAATATAAACCTTTCTTAACCTTTTTTGGATTACCGTCAGAAAAATTTCAGTGCCTCTTCAAAAAAGATAACTAAAAAATTTTTTTGTCGCATTTATACAAGCATTTGATCTTACCTAATTAGGGTGTGGTGATTTCAAAACTAAAATTAGTTTGATTCGGAAAGCTTCAGATTTTTTTTAAATGATATTTTTTTGCTTATTTTATATTTTGTCTTAATGTACAGTTGATAAGAAACATATAGGTTTATAAACATGCATTGTCTGCCCCTTTGAAAAAAAAAAAAAAAAAAGAAGGAAAAAAAAACGTAAGACAGAAAGCATTTGATCTTAACGTTTCACATCATGAACTGAAACGAACTATCACTTTCTTTCTACCACTCCCTACGTAGCAACGAAGTGGGAACATTCAGTGTTCCCTCCAGTGAGTGTTAAAAATTTTGGTAAGAAAAATATCATACTGCTTAAATACTGTAATTCGTTAGGTAGACCGATATCAGACTAGAAATTGGTGACTTTCTGAAATTTCATGCTAAGAAGACAGAGAAAAAAATTATCTTTATTCTTAATTAAAAAAATTTATTCTTATATTTAAAAATAGTGGTACTTAAATTAGATTAGAATTCTATTAAACAATGTAAATCTCCTATATGCTTGTAGTAAAATTTTTATCTGATGCTATCAGTCATAAGAACTCATTGTAGTTAGCACTTGAACGACATGTTTACATACTTGCTAGCTTGTTCTGATTTATCGAAACATTTTCATTTGAATGCTTAGGACGGGAGTAAATTGTATGATTTAACCCTCTATTCAGGGTGGCCAAGTGGTCCGCTTTCTGTAAAAGTTGTCATAAATTGGTGGCAAATTAAAAAATCTTGAAGAAGAAAATCAACTTAAAAATATAAATAAGACATATTAATCTGCTGAATAATGATGGTCTGAAACCTTTGCTAATCCTAGCTTTGAGCTCTCATTTCAGTATCTGTGCGACTCTGTAGGTGCCCATATTGAAAATCAGCCATATGCCATCAACATCAGCCCTATATCAGAAAGCCTCCTCACGGTTTTTTATAAGTAGTCTGCGATAGTTAATGCAATAATATTTTACTACTTTTATTTAAAAAACTTTTCTGATGCTATGTTTTAAAATTAAAAGTGATAGCCGAAATTAAAAAAATAACCTCAACGTAATAAATAATGATTTTTATTTTATTTAATGAATGTTTGAATCCTACTGTAATATTTATTTTTTACAACTTCTATTAAGTTTTAAGAACAAGGGTTAATTTTTAAGCCTTACTAGGTTCTAAATTTTCCAGAAAAAATGGAATAATAGCGACTCTTGTTACGTTTTGTAAGTCTTGACGCCTATAAGAGATTTCTGATACTTATAATTCGACTGTGCATATTTTATTTTAATTCCTTTTTTTTTTTTTTTTTTTTTTTTTACGCACACCGGTTAATTTTTACGTAAAATAATGTTGCTGTTATTTATGGAATAATTCTTGTATTTAGGAGTTCTGAAATTGTCTGGAATCTTTTAAAGCGAGGGTAAATGTTCAAAACAAGCGAACAGGATGAGTACCTTAAAACTGCAATTTCCATTTACAATTTTTATAAAAAAAAAAAAAGGGAAGCGATTTTTTTTTCTTCTTTCTCTTCGAGTTCAAGCCTAAGTCATTTTGAGACTCACGTTACTATTTCTTACGGACATGACGTCACGTGATCAGCCCTGAATGAAAGATAAAAATGTGATTCTCCCAGAGATAAAAGCTGTGATACTTCGTTACGTAAATTTGGTCCATGGATCATGAGTTGATTGATAAGGTCAAGCTTAACCTTCCACCTCCCTGGTTTTACTTTTTCTTCACTTATTTTAATATTTTCTTTTACAATTTTTTCTCCTTCTTTTTCTACTTTGTGTTACAGATGAAGAGATTTTGTATGACTCATGTAGTGCTTTTAAAGGAGATTCTTCTGCTTTGTGGAAAAATGTTTTCGTTATAAAAGGCAGTGATGTTGTACTAATTTCTTCGAATTTTTTTTTAATAATTTCAGCTTATATTAGGTTCCATTTAAGAAGTTACTGATATCTTATAAACGGAAAATTCCAATTATGATATTTCTTTAATGCTCCCAAATTTCCTGGTGTCAGTTTTGTCCTTTTAATTTGCAAATGATCTCCACTAACATTTCTTCTCTTAAAAAAAAACAATCATGTATATATGTTATAACTCCTGTAGTACATATCTTCGTATTGCAAGGCAATGATCCTATGCTAATTGTGATTTGGATTTTACACAATTCCAGTTGATTTTAGATTCCATTTAAGAAATTACAGATATCTTATGAAAATTTCGGAAAATTCCGATTATGATATTTCTTTAATGCTCCCAAATTTTATCTTTTTAATTTGCAAATGATCTCCACTAATATTTCTTCCCTTAAAAGAAACAAACATGTATATATGTTATAACTCCTGTACATATCTTCGTATTACAAGGCAATGATCCTATGCTAACTATGATTTGGATTTTCCACAAGTCCAGTTGATTTTAGATTCCATTTAAGAAATTACAGATATCTTATAAAAATTTCGGAAAATTCCGATTATGATATTTCTTTAATGCTCCCAAATTTTTTGGTGTCAGTTTTGGCCTTTTAATTTGCAAATGATCTCCACTATTTCTTCCCTTAAAAGAAACAATCATGTATATATGTTATAACTCCTGTACATATCATCGTATTACAAGGCAATGATCCTATGCTAACTGTACTTTGGATTTTACACAATTTCTGTTGATTTTAGGTTCCATTTGAGAAATTACAGATAACTTTTAAAAACCAACGGAGAACTCCAATTATCATAATTTTTTAATGTTTCCAAATGTTTTGGTATCAGTTCTATCTTTTTTAATTTTCAAATTAACACCGCTGTCTAATTTTTCCCTTAAGCGGGGCATTTCTTTATATTTAACTTTTATTAACCTTTTATTTAATTTTTATTAACCTTTGTATTAACTTTTGGTAAATGGGATACTTTTTTATTTTATTCCTGCGATTAAAAGCTGGATATGAAAAGGTTTTGCTACCAGAGTTTCTTTTTGCTTTTTCGGGATACAAACCCTCCAGCTGATTATTACTTAAGAGTTCCCAGGTGCCCAATAAAATCAAAACACTAGGACTAGGAACTTAAAAGTCATAAGGGCCGTAAGGCCTCAGACGCCCAGATCCACAACAACGAACGAACAAACGAATTTATGAATCATCGTCATTGGCCTCAATAGGAACGATATATTTAATATTGGCTCGTTAAATTTTTTTTTAAAAATGCATTGTTTGATATTATGATGGGGAAACTAAAAGTAGCTTGGAAAATATAATTTATCACTGAAATAAGTTAACTATGTAAACTTATATACACTTTAAATGTTTCATGACAGCACTTATGGCCATAACTCCTGCTACATTTGGTGCTATTTTTTTGTTAATCAGAGAATCTTTATTTTTTATTTTTTTGTACGATAACTGCCCGTTCAGTTGGTTTAACAGTTGATAGTAAATACTTGAAGTTTTTTCATGTTATTTTTAATGCAGTGCCATGTCTCTGATCAATATCGTA